TTCTGAGCCAGAAGAAACCACTCCATAAAAGTATAATAAATCATCCCATCTGTACTTGAATACCCGAAATAATATATTTTTTCAGGATTTCTTATGAAAATTTTTGTGTGCATTCCTCTTCATCTACAGATTAAAAAATTTAAGGGTGAAGCTATCCGTGTAATAGATCATGAAGGCCGATAGGGTTGTGAGACGTCGAGGCTCCCATATCTTGTAGACAATCGGCTCATAGATGGTGGAAAATTGTCAGCCTTACACCCCGGTCACCCTTTACCCCCCGGGAAGATTTCTGGTACCCATTTCTCTTAGAGGTTGAGTCGACCCGAGGTCCATAGTGCGGCTGGAAGGGTTAGGCCAATTGAAAATATATCTATCTCATCGGGACTCGAACCCGCGACCTTCCGGCTTGTGGCATAGTGCCTCAACCAATTGCGCTACCAAGTGCCCCGTATAGAGAATAAAGCATTATTAGTATTTCTTTGATAACATGAGAAGTTCGTAGTTGTTGTAGAGATCTTTGAAGTAATTATATTGACTGGCAACAAAGTCTGATATAATTAAATAAAGAACAAGGTCTTCTCTGCATTGCTGTTTTAATATCCATTTGTAACTATTTTAATACAAATTGATGGAATGTTAGTTGAAATATGAATGTATAAGGGGTGGGCCTTCTCGGCCCTTGCACCTCGACCTACAGCGATCTACGTATTGTGCTTTCAGTTGAAATAAATATGTGCCTTCACTAGCATCGACTCTAGATATAATCAGAAGTAGTGCGAAAAGTGTTTCATCCAGTTAGAACACTGTAGAAGATTGGTTAACCTTTATATAGCTACAAAATTTAAAATTTGTATCTCCAAACCTTCTGAAACGTTTACGGAGGCAGACTCCTCGCCCTCCTTATAATCATGCATATTAATAAAGTTTAAGTTCAATTTCAGAGTTATAGACTTTTAGATTGTAAAGGTATGTGGATTTTAGTAGACAATTATAATTAATGGATTCTAAAAGATTCTGACGATGTTGTATAACGCTCAAAATTACTGGGTTTTCGGACTTTTGTCCATCGTCTGGTATTCTAAAAACTAGAAAAAAACAATTTTTCGTAATGAGCTTAGCTCTTTCTAAGAGACTCAACCGGGTAGGTATCTCCTCCTTCACATGAGGACGGAAACAGATCCAGTTCCCGAAACGTTCTTTTTCTAGCGTTTTAGAATACCGGACGATGGACAAAGTCCGAAAACCCAGTAATTCTGTGAGATATAATTAGGTAAATGTTATTATTGTATTGTGGCTAATTTACTCCATGCAAGAACTGTTGAGTACAGAAACAGCCGCTGCTAAGTAATACACGCACGCAACAATATAACAACCCGCTTCTAGGCAACGACTCCGCAAACATTGTCGCTACAACGAACACAAGGCAACAGCAGAAGAACTGCCGTTTCAATATTACGGCCCGTAAACACCTTTCTCCGTAATGATGTGAAAACAGTAGGGAGTCCATTGTTATAAAGATACGCGCCGAGACTGGTTGCTAGGCAATTGCGTTGTAAACACGCCTCTACAAGAATATAAAAGGTTTTCTATCTGGTCCGTTCCGAAGGAAATCTTGAGAGTGTAAGAACTAAGTGCAGTTACAACTCGTCAATATCCAATAAATCGATTCGCCAATCCAAACCCTTCTACAAGTCACTAAAACACGTGACAATATATTTATTTCTCAAGAAAATGTCCGGGCCTAACAGTCGTAGTAAGGGAAATTTTTTTACCATTAAGATAAAGAGGTCGGAGTTTTGTGACATGTACAGATTATATACTATTGTTAGGATATGCTGCAACTGATTTGGCATTTAGATCGGCTGACAAAGGAATGAAATGTATACAGAATTTCAGCTTGAAAAATTATTTCAAAAGGGCTACTTGGTAGACCTAGAAGGGAATGGGGATGTGAGAGTTTCAGGCAGATAAGTTGGTTAAGAATGGAGGTGGGAGCATGAGATTATCCTGTATAGTGTTTTCTATCATCTAGCAGTTCTGAACCTTCGGAGTCCCTACTAATTATGTGTTGATTATTATTGATATTGTTACTGCACATGGCCAAGTATTATAGGCCTATTGTAATTTGTCTTGCAGGCACAATAGATCTTAAAAATATGTAACCAGTCTAAAATGTTCTTAGGGTTGAGAGAGTAAAGGATAATGTAGAACCTTTACAGTGAAGAACTTATAATTAATGTCGTCATCATCATCATTGTCCAGAATTACCGGGTTCTTGGACTTTTTCTATCGTCCGGAATTCTAGGAAATTACTATTATTATTTTTATTATCATTATTATTATTATTTTACTTATTGGATTTTTATTATTATCTAACTTGCCTTGTTATACATTTTGTCTTTTTGTGTATGTTCCCTTTTTTGCTCGCGGTTAGTTTTTAATTTGCTTTTGGGCTATTCGTTAAGCGCGTGAATAAATAAAGAATTGAACTCAATAATATACATTGTACTGTTTCTGTAATCGGCCTTGTAACTGTTGACTCCACATGTAAACAACAAATAATTGAATTGAATTATTGTACAAATTCCATATGAAGGTCTCAAATATAAAAGCAAAATGATGGTTTATTTCCAAGAAATTTTGTGAGGTCAGAATTAATGGAAGAGGGAAATTAGTAAAAAAAGTTATACGAACGTAAATATTGCAAGATATAGACCTGTTGCTAAGTAATGACTCGGTAAGCAACGCCCGCTGTTAGGCAACAGATACCTAGCAAAGCAACAATTGAATTACAACAATGAGAAGCGGTGTTTTCTACGCGATCCATGTAGAAGTATTATAGGTAGGACAGGTGTATAATTTAGTAGTTGAGTTTAATCAATCAGAAGATTAGGAGGTTAGTGTGAGATGGCCGCCAGCCTGAGAGTCAGTTGTGAGACATTCCCCAGCCTGTAAGGACCTAAGCAGAGTACATTGTTAGGATCCGTTACCAGGAAACGGCTAGTAAAAACTAACTGAGAAGACTAAGTATATCATGTAGCGAGAAGACGAGTGCATGAGTTAGAGAGAGAGAGTTGTAATTATAGTTACAGTCTCTAAGTGGTAAATAAATCCAATTACAATCCAAACCCTGACTGTAGTCACGCCATACGCGTGATAATATTATTATTTTATTATTATTTGAGGGGGTGGGTTTCCCCATGCACCGCGACCAGTGGTCTTTTGTACGTCCCCCTGTGATATTCTACCAGTCTCTATACCCAACCGATACTGGTGCGTGCCATCAGTCCCGACTCAGCCAGCGAGTTCGGCCTCTACTGGCTCAGCGGTATCTAGATGCTTCCCCCATCTACCAGAGGCGTTAGAGACTATTGTTGGGCGGGAAACGTCCTTGTAATTTGGCTCAGAGACCTCCTTGAGGCATGAGGTTCTTTTATGTACCGTAAAGCTACGACACGGGACCCACGGCTTAAAGTCCCTCCCGGAGGACTTGTTCCCTGAATTTTTCCGCCCTTAAAAATTCCACGACCTCCGCCGGGTTTGAACCCGCGTACCTTGAGTCATGAGGTTGGAACGTTACCCCTAGACTACGGAGGCCGCTACGCGTGATAATAACTTGGATGTGCATAATAAATGAAAGCCGAGATTCAAATCACCGAAGTCATTTATAGAAGAGAGCCTTGTTGCACAAAAATGAAACTTTCAGAGAGACGGAAAAGAAAACAGACTCTGAGGAGTGAAATGGGTAGCGGAGTCGAATTGTTTCATCTCTCCTGTCTGATGCAATGATGGCAATTCGTAGTATTTTAATTCCACAGCTTTCTCACATCCTTAAGGAGCAACTAATTAGAATGCATTCCATAGGGACTAGCCCCATGGAACAAGGTTCTTCTTAAGAAGCTACCGTTCACGCAGATGGTCAAGAGCTTCCTTACAATTGTGAGACCCCGAGATTCGTTGCCTTTCTTACAAAATCCTACTAGTTCATATCCAGAGCCAGACGATCCACACAGCATCACCATACACACACTTGTCTCTCGATCTGTAAGATACGTTGCACTGCAAATTACTTGCATCTCCCATCTCATCCTCCTTGAGATGATCATCCTAATAATTTAAGAATTTTCTGGTTATGCACAATTCTCCACCCTTGTGTTATTTATTTGTTTCCTTATTTATATTCTATTTTAGTACGCTAAGTATCTCGGACTGCCGGTCACGGTAGCCGAGCGGTCTAAGGCATGCACTGTCTTCGCTCGCTCGGAAGCCGGGATCGTGGGTTCGAATCCCACTCAGGGCATGGATGTTTGTGTGCGTTTTTCTGTGTTTGTCTACAGATAGAGGCCTTGCGACGAGCTGATCACTCGCCCAAGGAGTCCTACCGAATGTGTAAGATCTAGTAAACCGAAGTGAAACGGAGAGTTTCATGGAGGTAGGCCTAGGCCNCAAGGAGTCCTACCGTATGTGTAAGATCTAGAAAAACCGAAGTGAACGGAGTTCATGTAGGTAGGCCTAGGCCCACTGGGGCTGTAGTGCCAAGGAAAAAAAAATACCTCGGACTATGTAATTTCGAATGATAGGATAATTAATGTTCAATGAACTGGAATTGATGTCGAAGGAAGTGTTTGTAGCCTAAGTCTTTCAGCCACAAACTACAAACTAGGTCCAGATATCTATCTCAGGATTCTGTCCTCAAATGTCATCGCTTTATACATCTAACATTCAGTCCAAATAAAAGAACGTATAACATTTAAAGGGTGGATGATTGATGAATGATGAATCTGAAAGAATACGGAAGGAAATGTTCGTGACGTTATTTGTTCATCCTCACGTTCCTCTCTCTGTTACTCTGCTGTTTTTCTTAGCATCTTGTTCTCAAACGCCATCAGTCTACACACCTGCAGGTCCAAATGTTAGACGTATATGGCATTAAAACGTTAATCTTGTGTAACGACTCCGAAGATCATTGTTCACAGAATAAATACGATAGGCTTACTTACCGTGTAACTTGCCGGCCGGTTTGCGAGTCATATCCAGAGCCTGATCCTGCGCCTGCGCTCTCTCAAGAGTTTCCTGACCGCGAGTCATCAAAATGTCTGCTATAGAAAATGGAGTCACAGAGGTCAGTGAATTGCTGCACGGGATCCTTACCAATTGTTCCATTGTCGATGTCTATGATTTCACACGAAATTTCACCAAACAATGTAATATTTATATTTCAGTCCATGGAAATATTCCAGTTTGCTTTCATGGCTTTGGAATTCCTGCTCTTTATTCTCTATCAGACATTCTTAATTCTTTCTGGAACTCGGTTTATACGGGATAATATTGCATTCACGTGTAGCAAGAGTAGGGTCATTTCATCTCAGGCTACATCCGGATCTTCAATCTCCATGCTGCATCTATTATTTCTGTAGACAAGGTTCCTCAGTGTCCACCCCTCTATGAGACCTGAAAGAAAATGAAACATGAAGTAATACTGTGTAAACACTGTTAGATGATATAGTAAGTTATGCTTATGGGCAGACCCAATGGACAGAATTCTTCAACCTAACTGTTGCCAAGCAGAATAGCCCGTCTTGAGAAGCTGATGATCCCTCAGCTGGTCAAAAATTTCCAAGACTCTTATGGGTGTGTTTCACTGTCTTGTTGATCATCAATCTATTTCAAAGCCAGTTGAATCTAGTCTACATTCACAAAACACAATTTAGATCTGTCTTAGTATTATCCTGTCAACACCTGGATCTACCTGGTGGTCTATGTCCCTTAGGGTAAAACTAAAGTTGTCCCTATCCTTAACTAATTAAGCACACGCCATGAAGGCGTATGGAAGAGTGGATGTATAAATGCACATTTTCTTAACACCGGCTCTAGTTGGAGGTGAGTGGTCAGCTTCACGCCCTCGCAGCTTTACCCCAAGGGCAATAATCCCGGGTACCCATTGGATAGGAGGCTGGGTGGACCCTAAAGCCTGTCTGAACAACGCGGAGAGGAGAAAAAGCCTCGCCCCTACCGGGACTCAGTTTCCGACACCTCGGCCGTCCAGCGTTAATGCTCGTCACTGTTTGGCCCACACCCCTGCCAGAATACTTGCTCAAGCGAAGGCGCCCTCAGAACCATAAGAACCCAGTTAGTTACTTCATGTGATGTTTGAAGTCCTCAGGCCGGTGATTTTAATGAATGTTATCTTCTGGATGTTTCACGTAATCCGGTAAATGTTCGCAGACGTTTTGGAGGAAGAGGGGTCGAAGTAAGTATCAGACAGGAAGCTTACTGTGTTTGCTGCTTGTTTGTGCGGCACGCAATTCATTTCTGAAGACGAGGCAGTACTTTCCTCCTAAACGTCGGTAAACTTCTACCAGAATTCACGGCATCTTCTAAGTCAGAATTATTCAATGGTACCACATTCTTCCACTAACATAGTTTTTAATTTCACTTCCTGTCTAATGATTTGGGATAGCTCAGTCGGTATAACGACGGCCTATGGGCTGGAAGGACGGGGTTCGATTCCCGACAGGCGTAAAATATCCCCCACCTCCACATCGTCCACTCCGGCTCTGGGGCCCACCTAGTCTCATATAAAATGGGTACAGGGGCTCTTTCCCTGGGGATAAAAGGCCCTTAACATAAAGTTGAGCACTCACCTTCATCTAGTGCCGAGGTCAAGAATAGTGGAGGTATACCGCCACGCCTCATTACGTCTTTAAGACATAGCGATTAATAACTTAAGCACAGGAACAGCTTTGTCTTTGCTGATGGTCTAGTTCATTTTGGCCTATAGGCAGAATATACTTCCCTCGAATGATAGTCAAGTCAACTATTAGGTCTTTTTTTCTCAAAAGAGAAACATACAATCGTTTTCTGGTTCTGAGCCACGCTTGAGCAATCCGCTTTCCTGTTCTCCCACTGAATGTAAAATGTTTGCAATTCTCCTTGCACCACAGTATCTTCAGTGAAAGTTTTGGGGTATTATTTCAGGTTCGCGTCACTGAGCTCATGCACGTGCTAATAGAACACAGCCTATGATTGCTGAACATAAGAAATAGGGTTCCCTTAAACTTCTCAGAATACTGTGAACATTATTATGAGCAAACTTTCGGAGTATTAGTTTACGTTTGCGTAACTTACTTACGTCTCAACGATCATAAGACATTTAGAAGAAGAATGAAGAAGACACGAATGTCAAGCAAACATGACCCCAATTCAGAGAGAACAATTGAGAGATTCCGGAACTACGTCACTCCAGAATTGCGGCTATTCTTCGTGAGATTGAAGCTAAAGTATTTTATATGTTGGCACCCTTATTCGTGTTTTGATTGAGGAGCCTAATGGGACGAAACCACTAGCAAAACCTAGTTTAGTGTTAAGAGTGATATACAGAATGAATGGATACCATAGATGGTAGGAATTCATGATTATAGCGATGCAATTGCAAATTCAACAACAAAAGTTAATTTATAAATATGTATATAATTCTCATCTCTCAATCTGTACCACAGAGTTAGGTCAGTAAGCACTGGGTAACTTAGAACTTTCGTCAACCAATGAATTAAGTAGCTCGAGATACGTAATTACTAATTATATAATGTAACCGTAGGGTAATTCGGGATTTGTGAACGCGGTTATGAACCTTCCTATTCCAAGGAAGTCGGGTAATTTCTTTACTAGTTGGGCTGTCATTTCTTTATTAAGAAACACTGCTCCAGGACATTATTAAGTACTTATACTAAGCAAATGAACGCTGCTGTTCTGTTTCAGTAATCGACTTTCGAACTAACCAATTCTGTGATACCAGAAGCCCAGAGTTTCGACACCGAGACCAGCCACTCTAAGTTTCTTAGATTTCACATCATCAAGAGCAGATATACTAAGTGACGTGTATACGTATATACTACGTATATCATGATGTTTTCAATTTAGTATTTTTATTTATTCTTTTAAACTCTGGTCGTTTTTAGATACAAATATTTCTATGATAACTATTGTTTCCAAAGATTTAAAATTTTTGTTCTTCTTTAAAAAAAAGACCCCACTTCAAAACCAAAGAAATAGTAGAGAAATTTTTATATTTAGGATAGATCTCACTTTTATTACAACAAAGAACGAGCAAAGAATAGGGAAACACCAGATAGGCATCTTATTGTTAGCTCAGTGTTCTTGTTTCCTTAACTGGTCCTCTTATATCCTACGGTGTCGAGTTTCTTTTTTTTTTTAATTTTGATCATTTTACAGACGGTAGGACTCCTTGGATGAGTGATCAGCTCTTTGCAAGGCCGCTACCTAAACACAGGATAACACAAAAACAGAATATACAAATACACACCCCAAACATCCATGTCTTGTGTGGGATTCGAAACCACGATCTCAGCTTACGAGCGAGCAAAGACAGTACATGCCCTAGACCACTCGGCTACCGTGACCGGCAAAACAATTTTTCCATAAACCTTAAACATGTCACACATAAATAAACCTTTTTCTTTTTATTTTTTTTAATCTATGTAATAAACTTATGGCGGGTATGGAGAATATATGCATCTCTATGTCGGAAGTTCGTATATTTCATCTCGGGCTACTTCACAATTTTGGGCAGAGGTAAGTTTACCAGTTCAAGTTCGGTTAATGTCAATCCAATATGACCCACGTGGAATTTATGTCAGACTTCACGACTTCTCCCGACTAACTGAATAACTTCTCAAGAAGGAATATATTTCTAGAATTTATTCTTAATGCGCTATAAGACGAGTGTTAATATGTAATTGTGAATTAATTTGGCTTCCTCATTAGCAGGTTTTGAAGCATAGATCTGCATCAGATTTCGCAATATAAAGTATTTGGTAGTCTAGCCTATTTATGTTCCTGTAACACCGAACTGAAGCTAGGCGTATCAATGTAACATTTCTCTTGCCACATGCACATAAAGAAATCATTTAAAACATTTTTGGTTGAACGTCGCCGTCGAGCTGTTATGATTCCTGCTTTGTATCTGAGGGATCGCAGGTTCGATTTCGGTCCGAAATCGTACGATCCTGTGCCAAATCATTTTCCTCAGTTCTGTGAGGAAGTTTATGGGGACAGTATCTAAAACTGGGAATAATAATTTCATGATATGTTCATTTTAATTTAAATTTTGTAGCCATGCTCTCTTTCGGTTTTATACTGAAAGGGTTATTTTATAATAGTAAGTGTAAAAACATAAACATTGTGTGAATAGAGACAGATACATACCTAGCACTGAAACAGACCCAGGCACTTTTCATTTCATCCGCTACAAATAAAAATCCACACGTCTGCACGATACCATGAGGATAAACAAACTTGTATCGTGGCTATTAAGTCCACATTTGAAGATACTGATAATCGCCGATGTCGTTTAGATTTCTTGGAAAACAAAATTATCCCTGCTCTACTGTCATGTATTCAGTTTCGCAACATTTTGTTCGAAATACCTTTAATTCGCTTACAATAGTAAAACACTGCTACAGAGGTAAAGAAGTCACAAAACCTGAAGGTAGGTTTTTCACTACACTCGCATGAGATCGGATAAACTAACCTTGTCTTCTGATGAAACTAAAATGATCTTTTCAGCCAAGTTAGCGCGACTCAAGAGTTAGTTAAGAGGGAGGAGCCCATGTGCTCGCTCATCCCCATACACTACGTCGCTCACTCCATACAGAGCAAGAGTGGCATATTGTCACTCTGGAGTCCTAGATGTGTTCATGTTGCCTGAGCGAGTCTTTCCCTCCTCACGAATAGAGGTCAAACACTTGAACCTCTCGTCGTGATTGCCACACTTATTTTAGAGACTAATTTTCCATATGTACTATCCCAGTTGAACGAATCTGACATGTAGTTTTCTCCTACAAAATAACTGTAGAATATACTTTGGAATATACTGCTAGGTATATTTTAAGATACATTTTAAAATATGCTTTGTATATTCAATATGTGCTTTGAGATGTACTTTAAATATGCAATATATGATTTAATTATAGAAGACACACTTTAAAATATAATTTAAATATAAAATATATACTTTAAAATATATCTTAAATACGCTTTATTTATATAAGAAATAATTTAAGATCTTTAAAATACATTTCAATATAAAAGATACACTTTAAAATTTAGATATACTTTAAAACGCCCTTCAGAAATATGTACCATGTAGCAAGAATCCATCCAAACGTATACAGACCGGATTGCCTACAGATCTATTCTACACAATAATAATATGCGTTCTAATATAGGAATAATGTCTGGAATACATATCGAATTATCGTTCTGAAGACAGGCTTCAGTTGCGCAGTGCGAAGTAGGTTATACCGGTGTCAAGGAGGTGCACATGATAACCAGTTACAATTTGGGATATCGATGTACGATAAGGGGACCGTGGAAATAGCTAATAGACAGTGGACACATCTTACCAGGAAACTGAAAGGAAATACGCCAATTAGGCCAATAGAATTCAGATTTAATGAAGAGGAAGAAAGATTTACGTAATGACACTGCTCATAATCTGTAGCCTATTTCTCGCCATATATCATTAGGACAATAAAATTAAGAGCCAAGTGGGACATAGAGTATACGTGGAAGAAGTGAGAAGAGCACTCGGAAAACATGAAAGAAACAATGCTGAATGCAGTCTTCTGGGATGTGGCGTCTTGTAGAACTGCACGGCGCCACATCCCAGAAGACGGCATTCTTCATAGTCACCGCCGTGAAACCCTCAAATCTTACATGAAAGAAACAGATTACTTACGAGACACGGGTGTTGTTCAAGTAATATTAAAATGGATCCTATAATTAATAATGTATGAGGGTGTCAATTGAATTCAACTGGCTGAGGATAGCGAATCTGCTGCATGCGATTAATGGCGCTTTGCCTTATCACAAAATTGGCAACGACGCAGCAAGTTAGGCCTAAGTCAGTTCCGCTGATGTTGTGAAAAATAAATTAACAATAACTGAATTTGCATTTAAATAATCTTACTGTAAACCACATTGATGGTGTAAATCTTGGTTCTTTTACGACAATTGATCTTGTAAGTGAATTTGTCCCAATGAAAAACTTCTCTTGAAGTCTCAGATATTTCAGACGAGGTACGAATCTTCAAAATTCCTTGAAACAGAATTTTCAGTGTTATAAACTTACAAAGTCTACATAGGCATGAGATATACCCCTAAGAAAGCAAATTATTTAGTTGCGAATTAATTGATCTGTTTGTTCCAAACTCTGAAATAATTATAATAGCTTATTTAAGAAAGAAACTCCAGTACTTTGTTACTTATTAAGTAGCGACACTGGAAACTTCAAGAAAAATTTTCGACGATACAAAGTAAGAAAGGATCACTGTAGTAAATCATATTTAGTAATATATAGACCTAACTTCCTGCAGTTTTAGGTCCAAGCTGCTTGCAAGTTGTCTCTTCTTTTCAGATTTTCAAATTAAAATGTTTATTTCGTTTGATCAACAATGTAAATTCTGAAAATTATCCTTACTTTACTCTCTCCTTCGTCTCCTCTGCCCAACTGCACTCCTCTCTCTCTCTCTCTCTCTCTCTCCATGGAAACAACGACATTTAAGTTCCTTGTAAAGTTAACTATGAAGATTATATTATTTTGGATTCAAAGGCCTGTTATTTAGTAAGTGTTTCACCAAGGTTGACACTGCACAGACTGTGAACATTACTGTGTTGTGTAATATGACATCGTACAGTCTGGCATCAACCTACAAGACTACACGTCATCACATTCCACAACACAATAATTTTGTGGTCAAAGTAAAGGATTTTCTCGATGAGCTCTTCTTCTTCACACATTCTAGTAGTCCTGTCAGCATACAATGATTTTCAGATTGCTCTCTGGAATGTGTTTTTGGCGATGTGTTGTCACCCTGGTGATATTTTAATATGAATATTTGCCAATAACCGTAAACAATGCCTCGATCTTAATTCCTAGAAACGAGTTAGAACTCAACTATCTGTTTTTCGGAAAGCTGAAAATTCAAATTCTTGTAACACACTTTTAAAGACTCCTTTCAGAAATATCCTAGCATTTCTTTGCAAAGTGGACTCTTTTATCATGAACTTTCCTTACCACAATGTTGAATGCATTCCTCTGTCCTCTTATACTTGTTACTGATTCAGCCTGTTTGTATCTTCATTGATCAGGTAAGATGTAAATTTATCCCTGTAACAGGCCATGAAGGCCCATAGGGTTGTGAGACGTCGAGGCTGCCATATATTCTGTAGATAATCAACTCACAGATGGCAGTAAGTTTATCATCTCTACTCGTCGACCGCCCTTTACTCCCCAGGAAGATTCCCGGTACTCATTTCTATTAGAGGATGAGTCGACCCCAGGGCCGTATTACGGCTGGAAGGATTAGGTAAATTGAAAAAGTCCATAGTGCCTCAACCAGCTACACTGATTACATTGATTAATATGCTTTTATACTGACTGGTACATTTTAATAAGAATGTTTCGACTACTGAGATTAGGTTCATGTATTATGGTTCAGTCTCGAGAGTGATACAGATGAAACAGTCGTTCTGGCATTCACTAAATTTATTTGTGTGAGTCGAAGACGGGACTTGTAATAAGGAGCAGAAACAGGTTTCGATTGCCTTCAATATCGCCATCAATTTACCCTGTATAAGGTACAATTCATAATTCACTGTTACACACCCAAGCGCCATCAGAATATTTTCACTAGTCGTCTCCTGCTAACGTATTTCAAACAGTCTCACTGCGATTAAATCTTCTAATCACATTTCTTATTCTTCTTCAATTCTCTTTATGCTTGCAGCTCCTGCTTCTATTTGCTCTCGCTCCAGTCGATCTCGTCGCTCTACTGCGCTGAACCAATCAAAGTCAAAGTCAAAGTCACTTTACGACTGGCGCTTTACCGCCAATCAGTTTATCATTGCGTCAAACCCCTTGAGACCCACGATCAGAGATTCTTTCCCCAGTTGAACCTTTGCGGTAATAGTCCTTATATAACATCCTCTCTGACGAGATGGGTTTGTCTCTTATGAGACCACATAGAAAACACCTTTCATTCTCGTAGCGTATTATTGTACGCGTTGCCCAGCAACGAGTTGTTTATCAAGAATTTGTCTTCGCGGGAACTTGTTTACAAAGTCATTGTCTAGCAATGGAAATCATGTTACAGTATTTTGATGATATTGCAGCCTATAAATCATTGCAGCATTGAGAGCAACCCGCCAATCTATGCTTAACCAGATAATCTGGTTCACATCAGCAGAACCAATATATTTGTGATTCATTTTAATATCATTCACATTCCGCAAATAAACAGTTGCATTATGAGACTCTCTCAAGCACATAAGCTCATAAACTAACGAAACATGATAATTAAATACAGTAATATTATATAATCCTGTGGGTGCATCAGTTGCCTTACGATCTAGGGTCTTCGCCCTTTCAAACACCGGGGTCATGGATTTGAATCCCACTCGAGGCGTTGATGTATGTCTGTGTTTATTCTGTGTCTTTGTTGTCCAGTACAGGTAGCGGCCTTACGACAGACTGATCCCCCGTCAGAGGAGACTACCAGCTCTGTAAGATTTATAGCCTCATATTGCTTCTGAATGCGAACAGACGAGATGGCCTGATACGTGAAACGAAAAAGAAAGTTTCTCACTTTAGTAAGCAGGTGAGCACATGGACAAAAGGGTAGTGTTAACTACCAAAACGTAGTTCATGGTAGTTTATAGTTTAACTTAGTCTGTCAGAGGGAACTGTACGGTCAGCTGGTGTGCCAGACTGCAGGCCGGCCTGCCGTCCGTCTCGGAGTGCTTTCCATTGATTTCAGCCTTATGTCGCTTCTTGTTTGACTGATTCAACTGGCGACCGTAACTCGAACTCCTCCTACCTTCAGACTGTGCACGTTTCTCTCCACCAATAGGGGAGGAATCTAGTAGTGACGTCATAACACCCTTCACCGAACCAAACCCACAAGCACGCGACTCAATAAAAAGCAAAATCCATTACAAGTACAGCCAAGTGAAATTAGCTCTGTTACCGGGTCTTAAGTCGTTGTAGGCCCATTAAGTTAGTCTGCTGAAATAACAGTCATGCAGCAAGAGTTTGATTTGTGCCACTCTTCACTGTTGAGAGGCTCAACAAGCTCACTGATTATCAGCTATTTTCATATCCACGGAGCAGGTCGTGGAGGCCCATGAGATTATGAGACGTCGAGGCTCCCACAGTTTCTAGAACATCGGCGAACAGACGGCGATTCGGTTGTCAGCCTTACGCACCTGCAGCCTTTATCCCCCAGTAAGATTCCTGGTACTAATTTGTGTTAAAGAATGAGTCGACCCCAGGGCCATAGTGTGGCTGGATGTATTAGGTAAATTGAAAAATCCGATGATTTCATCGGGAATATAAGCCTCAACCTTCTTACTTGTAGCTCAGTGCCTTAACCAACTACGTTACAGCGTGCCTCTCTGTATTCCTAGTAACAAACATTATTAGAATAGACAAACAGATAAGGATGAGAAAAGTAGGCCATGTAGCACGAATCGGTG